AGGGGGCTGGTTTCCACTCCCTGTCCCCTTATCTTGTGGGTCCTGACGGGGGTCCCAGCTGGTCCTCTGGAGGCGGTGGTGTCAGCGTTGCCCAGGGCAGCTGGTCCCTGGGCCCCCCTTTCCGGTCAGCCCCGTCTCCTCCTTCCCGGCCAGGCCTGAGCGTCTCCTCCTGGGCCCTGAGCCTGCCTGGGTGTGTCCCCAGCCACCCAGCACGTTGCCCCCAGTTTCCTCGGTCTTCACCCGTTAACACATTCACGAGCTACTTCCCTGTGTGGAGCGTCCCCTTCCTGAGACTTAGCGGGAGCCCTCAGGGATGCCCTCTTCTCCTCACACAGGACCTCATGGCCAAAGTAAGAGCGATGCTCGCAGCTTCCAAAAACATGCAGACCAGTGCCTCCTGAGATTCGGCCGTGGGCGACTGGGCCTGGGGCCCCAGGAGCTGGCAGAGCAGAGAGCCCCGTCCTGCACAGACATCCCGCTGGGGCTCCTGGACGGTTGGCGGGTTTTGTAAATTAATTTTTGATGACATTTTAGGTTTAAGATTTTTGACCAGCAGTCTCTTACCTGTATATTTGTAAATAATATCCTGTTTCTGTGAAAATGTATTATCAAATAAAATGGGAAGAAAACACCTTTTCTAGCTAGTCACCGTGGGCAGTTTCTTCCTTGTTTGGCTTGTGAGTTCATTACTGTTTGTCGTCTGTCACTGGCCTCTAACACTTGCTGCGTGGGTGTCGCGCGGCATGGGGACGGCTGTAGGGGTCGCCTGTCCCGCTCCCCCAGCCCTGCACCGGGGCGCGAGGCCACAGCCATTTCAGCCCCCGCAAAGCAGGAGAGGCAGGTGGCAGGTTAAGAATCTGCCTTCCAAGGCAGGGGACGAGGGTTCGATCCCTGGTTGGGGAACTAAGATCCCACGTGCCGCGGGGCAGCTAAACCCGTGCGGGACAACTGAGCCCATGCGCCGCAATGAAGACAGGACGCAGCCAAAAATAAAATATTTTTTTAAAAACCACATTCCCACCAGCTTTCAGTGAGGTTTTGCCTGGATGTCCCCACTCGCCCGGGTGAGACCTGCGTCCAGATCAGCTTGCTGTCCGTGACCCAGATTCCCAGAGAGATGAGAAGACGGGCAGCGGGAGCGAGCCACCCAGAGCGCGCAGGGGGCCGGGCTGCTGCCAGGAGGGGCTGGAAGCTCAATCCGACGGCCGCACCGACAGGCGGCTTTCAGCAGTTTGGGGTTCCATTTGTGTTGAATAAGTGATTCCTCCACCTGGTTAAATATGACTTCCTCGTGTGTCCTTTCAAGTTGCTTTTTACAACTACAAGGAAGTGGGAAATTACGGTCTCCTCCGCCCGGCCCACATCTGCATCCGCGTCTCCTACACGCAGAAAAGCAAACCGCGTGCCTGCTTCCCCTGCACTTGCAGTTACTCTACGTCTTGGAGCTACTTCTGTACCTGTACAGAAAGCTCCTTTATCTTCTCTGTAATAAGCTTTAGAACACGTTTAGATTTATTGAAAAAGTATGAAGAGAAAGTTCTCACAGGCCGGCCAGCAGCCCTCACCCTGCACTGTCCGCTGCACCGTGAGGAGGGACATCTGTCGCTCTCCGGGGCCAATGTTGATATATTTCCGTCACCTGCTGCCCACACGCTTCAGATCGTCCTGCCTTTGACCGGTGCCCCTCCCTCAGCCGCCTTCAGCTCCTCGGGGGACCCTCACAGCCCGTCCCTGACGACGGTCGGGGGTCGGGGGGGCAGCGGCAGAGAGCGTCTCCACTGACCTGGCCGAGGGTGGAGTCGGGCAGGGCAGTAGGAGCGGCCCTTCCACCTCCCAGCAAGGGAGCAGGCGAGCGGCTGCCCTGCTCCGTCTTCCTCCAGCTCTGTCCGGGCTCGGCGCCGGCAGGGGCTTCGGCGGGCACGGCGTGGCCATAGGTCCCCGGGCGAGAGAGGGACGCAGGCCCAGCCCCAGGGAAATCGGGCTCTGCTGCCCACAGAAGGTGCAAAGGACGCCAGGCCCTCCGAGAGCCAGCCGTCCACCCCGCTCCGTGCCCGCGGGTCGGGGGCTGCCCACCTGGCGTCTGGGGCCGGTGCCGAGTCCCCCTGACAGGCCAGGCCACAGCCGTCCACGCAGCCAGCGCACGGGGCCTCCCATCTCTCAACTCGGCACGCAAAACCCACTCCAGGGGCCAGCGCCCTCCAGCCCGGCGTGGGCCCGGGCTCAGCACGCGAGCCAGGCGATGACAAAGCCCTGGAGGCGGGAGGCCCGACAACACGGTCTGGTCCACGGCAGCGGTCGGTGGGCCTGGGGGAGAGGGGACGCCGAGCAGAGGGCGCGAATGGGGGCAGGGCCAGGCGTTCCGGGCTCAGGGGCCGATGAGGGAGACAGACAGAGACACAGAGAAAGAGAAAGAGGAGCCCCAAGTGACTCCCAGGGTCCCAGGTCGGCAAGGGGAGGGGCCGGGTGATCCCTGTGGTGACGGACTAGACGCGGGGACCGCAGCGGGAGCGCACGTTTAGCTGAACGTAGCTCCGGAAGGTTGCATGTAGACGCAACCTGCATATGCGCGCGCACACGGGTTACTACACGCGCGGTTACTACACGCACGTGCTTCTTTCAGCACCGGCGCTGGGGACACACGGGTTTGCCTGGCGTGGCTCATCCACGGGACTGTCCAGGGAGGAGGCTGTTGGCCAAAGGCTCCAACAGGCCGGAGCTCGGGTGGCAGGGGCCTCGTGCCCGCAGCACGTGGCTGGTAACCGGAGCCTCCAGAGTCAGCAGGACGGGCATCAGAGCAGGGAGAGAACAGCGCGGGACCAGCCTCTGGGGAGCCCTGCACCGAAGGGCTGGGCGGGGGAGCTGAGGGCCCAGGAGACCCGGGGACACCAGGCCTCTGGAGCCCCGGCAGGGGCTGGTCCCCTCAGTCCCTCGCCGCCTTGGCAGTGGGCTGGGGCAGCCTCCCCTCAAAGGTGGAGGATCCCTCCTGAGGCCCTCGTGCTGCTGCTGAGAGCCACTGAGGGCAGGACAGCAAAGCCCCCCGGCCTTGAGGGGGGCCCGGAATGAACAGACGAGAAGGTACCAGACGGCGGGTGGTGGAGACTGCACAGCGGGGAGTGGGGCGAGGGCAGAGGCTGCTTTGCAGAGGCTTCAGTAAGGAGGCATCTCTCAGGAAGAGGCACAGGCGAGACCTGCAGGAAGTAGAGGGTTGGGGGAGCTCTGGGGCTGGGGGGCCACGAAGAGCGTGAGCAAAAGCCCTGAGGCAGGAGCAGGCCTGGGGTGAGGGGGGGGGGGGGGGGCTGGGCCCACAGGCTGGGATACGAGCTGGGACTTGCCCCCCGAGCACAGCAGAAGCCCCTGACGCTGAGGCAGGTGGCACCGTCCCTCCACATGCATGTGGGGAAGGTCGCCCTGGGCCTAGTTTAGGGAACAGCAGGAAGGCAGGGTGGGCACAGAGGACAGCTGGGAGGTGTGTCAGGGTCCTGGGCAGCCGCCCAAACCACCACTAAGCAGGGTTTGAAAACTCAGGAGTTTGTCCGCTCAGTTCTGGGGGCCAGAAGCCCGAGGCCCGGCTGCCGCAGGGCTGGGGCTCTGAGGGCAGATGTGCTGCTGCCCGTCCGCTCCTGGCGCTGCCGGCGTCCTGGGCGCTGCTGTGTCCTCGGCTCGTGGCCACACGGCTTCCGGCTCTGCCACCACCTGCCCGTGTGTTTCCCCGCTTCTCACCTCCTCTCCAAGGACCCTGTCACTGGGTTCGGGCCCCACCCGGACAATCCAGGATGGGCTCATCTCCGGCCTCAGCTTTGATTCCATCTGCAGCAACCTCTTTCCAAATAAGCTCATGTTCTCAGGTTCTGGGTGGACGTGAATTTGCGGGGACACCACTTGCCCTGATACAGGGCCTTGGAAGGAAACCCCAGCTGCTGTGCAGGAGCAGGCCTGAGCTCCGAGGAGCACATGGCTATAGGCTGAGGGCAGTGGGAGCGTCAGACCCTCTTCGTGCATTCGCAGCCGGCTAGGCTCCTCCCCGCACTATTTAAGAAGCAGCATCCCTCCCCCTCCCTCCCTCTCCCCCTCCCTCCCCTCCCTCCCTCTCCCCCCCCCCCCCCCCCCCCCCCCTCCCCGCCCCCTCCCTCCGCCTACCCCTCCCCCACACACGGACAGAGCACAGACCTGACAGCGCCTCCAACACCTCACCAGCCTGCTTAACTTTCCTCGCTCTTTAATGTGTGTTTAATAGGGATGCACGGTGAAGGGCTGTGTCTTGCTGAGTCTAGAAACCTCTTCCTATAAGTCGGGAACCAACTGCACGTGACAAAGCAGCCCGTCACCGTGTGCGTGGCGGCCCTTCCCCTTCTTCGCGCTCTCTGAGATCGTGGTACCGCTGATTCAGTGATGCACAGTAACTTGGCTTCTTCTCAGTTTCACAACCTGCTGACCCCTGCGAGCAGCTGTCCCCCGTGCAGCCGGGGCCGGAAGAGCAGCGGCCACACAGCACAGACGGGGCAGGCGGGTCCGACCTGCCGACCCTTCACCAGCGCGCCTGGAGCAGAGCCCCCAACCCGTCATCCCCGCGTTTCCTTCTCTCCTTTTAAGCAGAGACTCACACACCATGCCATTCACCCCTTTAAAGTGGCTTTTGGTACACTCATAGCACCGTACAAACATCAACCACTATCCAATTCCAGAACATTCCCACCTCCTCAAAATAAACCAACCACCTACTCACTACCAGTCGCCCCCTTCCCCTCCCCCAGCCCCTGGCAGCCACCGCTTTGCTTCCCACCTCTCTGGATTTGCTGGTTCTGGACATTTCCTATAAATGGAATCGTACAGCTCGTGGCCTTGTCTTCCTGTTTCTTTCCACTTACAGTGTGTTTTCCAGGCTCTTCCACGCTGCAACATGCCTCACAACTGCATAGCTTTTCAGGGCCGAATAATACTCCATTGTGTGGGTACACCACATTTGTGTGTCCCTTCTTCACGGGTCAACAACTGCATAGCTTTTCAGGGCCGAACAATACTCCATTGTGTGGACACCACATCTGTGTGTCCCTTCTTCACGGGTCAGTGGCTCTTTGGGCAGCTTCCATTTGGGGCCATTATGAGTAATGCTGCAACGGACACTCATGCACAAGTTTGTCTGTGGACATAGGTTTTCAGCTTTGGTTCTTTTTAAATTGGGAATAGCTACATCGCCTCCAAGTAGGGCAGCCGGAATTCACTGAGTTGGGTCTGTACATCCTTAGATCAGCTCCCAGAGCACAGCGACCGGACGACAAGCCTGGAAAGGGTGCGGGAACATGCACTGCTGGCCTCTTTCCTGCCAACACCCCTTTCTGGCACCTGCACCCCAATTTTCCTCCGGAAAGCCGCTCCTCCCCGACTTGGCCCACGTGGTAAGGGTGGGGCTGACAGGCCCTCAGCCCAAGACCCAGGCCAGCCAATCAGAACTCACGTCTGCTTGGCCCAGTGATGGGCTCAGAGAAGAGCACAAGACCCAGGTGAGACAATCCAGGACCTTCCCTGAAACGTTAGGAAGGGCCTCCTCGGGACTTCCCTGGCGGTCCAGTGGTCAAGGCTCCGAGCTGCCAGCACAGGGTGTACAGGTTTGAGCCCTGTTTGGGGAGCTAAGATCCTGCGTGCCGCATGGCATGGCCCAGAAAAAGGGAGGCCTCCTCTTCTGGGCAGGGTGGGGGAGCACGCGAGGTCAGCCAAAGGGAGGAAGCAGAGTCTGGGCTCAGAGACCCTGGAACCAGCCATGCCTGAAACTAACCTCTAATTTTCCCTCTTAAGCTGGGTTTCTTGAAGGCGCCTGAAATTGTTCCTCCTGCACAGAGACCAATGGGGCCAAGGGGGCCAGAGGCTCGTCCTGGATGGAAGACAACAGGGTACGAGACAGCCTGAGCGCCGGAAAGCATGTCCCACAGACAATCCCAGCAGTTAGAGCATCTTCTCCTCAAATACCAAGAGGTGAATACAAGTATTCTGAACCAGAACTGATTTCTCTTGTAACGCCCTCTCTGGAGGCCGTGGCATGGGGACCCGCCTCCCTTTCAGGCAGGTGCCCCAGAGAGGGAGGGGTGGGGTGCTCCCCGGGGGCACGGGCTGGGCAGAGGGTCCGGCTCCAGGACCAAGAGTTGCACCTGGCAGCTGAGTGGGGCGGGGCCCAGGGGGGCCAGCGACACCCCACCCCGGCCCCCATGGCCACTCGGCCCGCACAACCCCCAGCGCACGTGGTCCCCGCCCTGACGACCTCTCACCTCTGGCTACGACCCCCTCTCCCTCCATCTGGGCGTCTGCTCTGGGCTGAACTGTGTTCCTCCAAAATCTGGGTGTTGCGGTCCTCAAGATGTGACTGTACTTGGAGATGGGGTCTTAAAGGTGATTAAGGTGAAATGAGTCCATAGGGTGAGCCCCGATCCAGCGTGACTGGTGTCCTTATAGGAGGAGGAGATCAGGGCACAGACACGCACAGGGACGGCCACGTGAGGACATGGGAGGACACGGCCATCTACACGCCCAGGAGAGAGGCCTCGGGGGGACCAGCCCTGCGACACCTCCATCTCGGACTTCCCGCCTCCAGGACACAGGACCATAAATGTCCGGGTGCTTGTTACGGCGGCCCTAGCAGACTCACACGGCATCTAGATACCAGCAAAAACATCCCAAATGTGGCAGGACTAAGCACCTCTCAGCCATCCTGACTACCTCCCATGGCTGCGGCTGTCCTGGCTCAGCCGGGCAGCGCTCCTCAAGGCCTCCCTGCAGCCGCCCCCAGACCATCCGAAGCTTCTTCACCCACAAGCTGGCCCCTGAGTTGGGAAGACACAAACCGCCAGCTAGAGCCCTGGGGCTTCTGTGCATCCTCTCTCTCTCCCCCTCTCTCCGCCCCCACTGAGATGGCAAGTGTCTTGCACTGAGTGCCGGGGGGTCCAGGGGAGCCCGTGGCCTTTGCTAAGGCAGGCTCAGAAGTGAGCCTGCAGGCCCATCTGTCGATGGAGGTGGACACAAAGGCCAGGGGTGTAGCCCCCGCTGGGGAGCGTAGCCAAGAGTTCAAGGACAAGCTTTTTGTTGTTGTTGTTTTTGGCCACGTTGGGTCTTTGTTGCTGCGCACAGGCTTTCTCTAGTTGTGGCAAGCAGGGGCTTCTCCTGTTGCGGAGCACAGGCTCTAGGCACGCAGGCTTCAGTAGTTGCAGCATGCGGGCTCAGTAGTTGCAGCACGCAGGCGCTAGAGCACGCGGGCTTCAGTAATTGCGGCACATGGGCTCAGTAGTTGCGGCGCACATGCTTAGTTGCTCCGCGGCATGTGGGATCTTCCCAGACCAGGGCTGGAACCCGTGTCCCCTGCATTGGCAGGCGGATTCTCAACCACTGTGACACCAGGGAAGTCCCAAGGACAAGTTTTAAAACCACCTCCCCCTGTTGGCACTCCAGCCCCATGGCTGAATCTCCAACACACAGAGACTGCCCCGGGGCCTTTGCACGGGCTGGCCCCCTGGCTGACTGCTCTTCCCTCAGGCCTTTGCGAAGCTGATATCTCATCCTCCTGACCCCGCCCGTAAGATGCACAGGAGTTTCCCATGGCTGCCCTTAACTGTGACCACAAACCTAGTGGTGCGAAGTGAGGCACCTTTGTTCTCCCCCAGTTCTGGAGTCCGGAGGTCTAGAGACAGTTTTGCTGGGCTGAAAGCAAGGTGTGAGCAGGGCTGGCTCCTTCTGGGGCTCCCGGGGAGGCTCTGCTCCTTGCCTCGTCCAGCTGCTAGAAGCACCTGCATCCCTCGATGCCTGGCTGCATCGCTCCGACCTCTGCTTTCATCACCACGTGGCCTCCTCCCCTGACTCTGAGCCTCCCCCTCCTCCCTCTTTCAAGGGCCCTTGTGAGGACACTGCGACCACCCCCATCTCAACATCTCTAACTTAATCACATCTGCAAGGCTCCCCTTACCACATAAGGGGACACATCGTGGATTCCAGGGATGGGGCCTGGAACCTCTGGGAGCCACTGTTCCACTTTGCACCCGATTCATCTATGCCCACCATGCCAGGTGTCAGCCCCACAAGGGCAGGGATTCAGGCATGTGGCCAGTGCCCCATCGCTCTGCTGGACTGAAGGCCTGGGGCCTGGTCTAAGGGCACCACGTCCCCTTGGGGCCCCATCTTGGAGCAGGGACCTCCTTGAGCAAGCTGACCTTTCCCATCCAACACACACATGCACCCTGCTCTTCCCACTGACCTTGAGTTACACAAGTAAACCAGGAATAGCTGCTCCTGGTAAGAATGTAAAACTGTGCTGAGACCCTGAAGGCCTTGGTCCCTTCACATCCTGGTATCTACCTGTTGGTCCTCCTCTGGTCCCCTGAGCAGACCAAGCTCAGAAGAGATGACACGTGTGTTTGTACATGGTACACATGGTAAATGTAACTATGTAGTTGTTTTGTGGGGTTTTTCTGCTCTCTGCTTTTTTTCTCGTAATTTTTTTTTCACTCAACAATAGGTCTGAGTAGCGTCATTGGCACACCTGGATCTAGTTCACCCTTTCTCACTCAATGCAGTGTTCCATCTTTGGGGTACGTCCCAGTGCGGTCATCCCAGGGCAGCCACCAGCTTACACAGCACCTGCGGGTCTTAGAAAAGTGCCCATTTCTGCAGTGGGACATGACCCCACCGCAGCAAACACAGGCCAGCAAACGGGCGCAGCGGGACTCTGCCCGTCACCCTCGTCCTTGACCACAGCCAGCACCAGAGCACACAGTTAGGCAGTTTCTGGGTTGTTTTTTTTTTTTGGTTAACTATTACATCTCGCATCAGCCGTCTTGTACAAAGATGGGCGTGTTTTTCTGGGGCGGACACCAAGAATGCTGGGCCGTAGGAACTGTACATTTCAAACTTTAATAGCTGCTCCCTGATGGCCTCCCAGCGAGGCTGTTCCAGTGGCACCCCCTCCAGCAGCACCAAAGTCCCCACTTCCCTCCGCGGTGAGTGATGATAGATGACTTTCTCAACGTCGCCCATCTGATGGGTGAAAAGTGGCCTCTCATCAGCGCTTGTATTTGGGCCACATTCAAATGCCAGCATTCAGGGGCAGGCTCGAGGAGAAAACAGCAGCCGTGGTGCCACACGGCCCCCGCCACGAAGTGACACGTCCCCCGACACCAAGCATCCTTGGTTCCCGCACCGTCCACCAGGCACCATCTGGACCTACCTAGCGAGAACCATGTCTGTCTGTCCGCAACTTCTGATGCTTGTGGCCCTGCCGCTGCCACTGCCATGGCTCTTCACCGCCTTCAGGGCCTCCTACAGCTCCTCAGCCAGCGTCCCCTCTCAGGTGCAGGAAGAACTGTTACACCATGGGGTCGACTGCTCCAGTATCTCTTCCGAGCCCCTTGCGCCAGCCCTGGCTGCCACCCACCCTCCTTCACTCTGACGTCAGCATCTCAAAGTTCCTTTAGAAAACGCCTTCCTTCCCATCGTCAGCGCAGCTGGTCCCGCTCGTCCCCCAGCCACATGCTTGGTTAGGGATGGGCACACGGCCCACAGCGTCCAATGAGAGATGGCCATGGGACTGCGGCCTGAGAGTCGGTCGGCCGGGTTTGCTAATCTGGAAGAATGTCGGGGGCGGCTGCCCACTCTGTCTTTGCTGCCATTTGGAGAGATCTCGCCTGAGGATGAAGCCAACACAGAGATGGAGAGAGAAACCGTATTCTGATCATGTCCTGGTGCAACTTGATCCAGCCTTGCCTGACGTCAGCCTGCTCTGAGATGGCCTAGTTTAATGAGCCCATAAATTTCCTTTCCCTGACCAGAGCCAGGCTGAGCTAGGCTTTTGCCAGTAGCACTTGAGCAAAGTTGGGGGATGTGCCTGTGAACGGCCATCGTATGCAGGGTCTTCACTGCAAGTGATCTCAGCGGGTCAATATAACGGTCTTCTGAGCAGGCTTGGAGAGTAACAGCAGGGAAGGATGCGCGAGACCCCAGCCACGGGAGGACAGTGGAGAGGAGGCTCTGCCCGAAAACCCAGCCCTCAAACCCACAGCGACCACAGACCCACGGCCCTCGCTGACTCCCAGCTGCGCCCAGACCCCACCAGAGTCAGGGCCGCCGCCCGCGCCCCTCCTAGTCTCTCACCGCACCCCCTCCCGCAGTCCCTCCCGAGCTCCCACCCCCAGCCCCGCTGCAGCCCGGCTCCTCTCACGCCCCCAGCCCCTCCCTGCTCCCACCCCTACCCCGACCCCTCCCACTCTCCCTCCTCAACCGCCATCCGACCCCACCTCCCTTCTACCACGGTGCAAAGGCTCCCCCAGGCGTCCGCCGGGCGCGCTGCGGCTGCCGCTGCGGGTCCCCAGCCCTGACCGTGAAACAGTGCTTGGCGCGCGGAGTCCACGTACGAGCGGTCGGGAGGGAGGCGGGGTCCGTTCCCCGGGGGCCGGCACAGAGCCCCGGACTGTGCCCCCGCCTGCATGCCTCCGCCGCCCCGGGGCCGTCTGGGGACACTCAGGAAGTGTCTTCCTTCGGGCCGCCGCAGCCAAGGTCCCCGTGTGGACTCGCCGGGCGGGGCGTGGGTGAGCTCTGAGCATCCTCCAGGGGGCGCGGGACTCTGGCGGGAGCGGGGCGCGGGCCCTTTAAGGCGGAGGGAGGGAGCGGCGGCGGCGTTCATTAACATATATTAGCATGCCCCGCCCCGCCGTTGGGAGGCGGCGCAGGGCTCGGTCGGGCAGGCACCCTGGCGCGGGCTCGGGGCGCGCGGGCGCGGGGCGCACGGGCGCGGGGACTGCCACCACCGCGCCGTCCGCCCTGTGAGCGCGATGCGGCGCCGCGCCACCCGGGGGCCCGGCCCGCCACCTCCCTGGGCCCGGGTCCCGCCGCTGCCGCTGCTTCTGCTCGCGCTGGCCGCCCGTGGGGGCTGCGCTGCACCCGCGCCCCGAGCCGAGGACCTCAGCCTGGGAGTGGTGAGTGCGCGGCCGGGATGCAGGGCTCCCGCGGGCCGGGGAGACCCCATCGGGGCGCCTCGGTGCCTGCGGGAACTCGGACGCCCTGCACCCATTTCCTGGGCAGGAAGGCTGAGGCTGGGTCACAGTCTGAGTGTCTTACGCGCGCGCACCCGGGTCTGGGAAAGAGGCGGCGGGTCCCTCCCGGGCTCCGTGCGCTCAGAGCCCGCCGCAGTCGCCGGAGCCCGCGGAGGTTGGGGGCTCACTGGCCCCAGCCCCGTTACCGGCTCCGTGTAGCCCCAAAGGGGCCCCTGAGGCGGGTGGGACAGCAGTCGCAGCCGCCCAGAGCAGGGCGGTCCCGAGTGCGTTCCCCGTGGGAGTGGCGGGGGGGAGGGGTGCGCGCCCACAACCGAGAAAAAGACAGGGCTGCTGAGTGTGGGCGCCCCGGAAAGTCGGTGGTTTCGAGTTTGCTCCGTTGAGGATGTTGAAGACGTTGGGGAGCAAGGGAGCCGGCCTCCCAGCCCCGCGCTGGGCATGGATCTTGGCCCAAGTCCCTGTCTCCTTCCACCCCCAGGGTGGCCAGCCCTGCCTTGCCACCCTTGTCCCTGTCCTGAGCCTGCTGGAGTCCCCCTCCCATTCCCAGGCTCGGATGTAGCCGTCCCGCCTTCTCCTGCGCCCCTCCCTCAGTATCAGCTGTCCCACTGGCTTGGAAACCATACTGGGGGACTGCGCAGTGTCTTCTTCCCACAGCCCCTCCCCCTTTCAGCCCGCCAGGCTTGGAGCCTCCCCTTCGGGACCTGGAAGATTTAGATCAGACTTTATGGGTCTCGCCACCCCCGGGCCCCGGGAGGCCAGGCGAGGGCGAGAGCAGGGCGGTGGATTAAGCAGATTCCTTCTGAGGCTTCCGCCCCTGCAGTTGCCCTCACTTGCACAGATGAAGGGACAGGGCCGGGGACCTTGCTGCCTGCCTCCGCCCCCGGCCCACGGCAGTCTCCTAAAGGGGTGCTGAAAAGGCTCCTCTCCCAGGCCAGTGGCATTCTCGAGCTCCGGGTGGCTTTCAGGCCAGTGCCGGCGTTTGGGCGGCATCCGCAGCCCCGTGGTTGGCAGGACTCGGCCACCCCCGCCCAGCTGCCGCAACCCCTGCAGCCGCCTGCGGGAGAACGACCACAGTCCCTGCTGTCTGCATCCAGACGCCAGAGGGTCCCCAGCGCCGCTTCCTCCCAGCCAAA